GAAAATACTCTGTATGAATGGCATATATTCATTTATTTGTATGAATAATTTCTTTATTATTGTTGTTTGGAGACTTGCTAGATTTTATTAATTATTTCAAAAAATGAAGGTTGGTCTCATCAATCGTGAAATTTAATAAGCTTTCAGAAAATAATCTCATTTTTTATTTTCTAAGGTACCATGAAAAAAATAATATTTCGGGCCACATCGAAAAGGGCTGCTAGCAACTAAAAATATAATGGTCGGGCCTTGGAAATTTTCAGGGGAGAATCAGAGGCCCTGAAACTCCTTGAAAATGCATTAAACTCGATTTCAGCCTGATGAGCGGAATACACCAAAAAATGACTAGACGATCCCCATATGGCTCATTTTGTAGATAAATAAAAGATCTAGGGAATGTAGAGAATAGTTTTTTTCAATTTGTTCCAGTACTTCTTGTAAAAGTGACATTTATGATTTTTTTTTTTCTTTTTTACCTAGTCATCTTGGTAAAATATTTCCTCCCAGTAAAACAAAAGTTAAAATTTGAAAAAATAAAAATAAAAATTCTACCTTCCCTAGATATATGAATGCCTGTGTAGTTTTTTTTTTTTTTTTTTTGGGGGGGGGGACTTTTAAGAAAATTTCCATTTTTTTTTCAACTTCTATCTCCATAAAAGTTTCAGGCAATAAAAAGAAAAAAGAAAAAAAATTATATCAGAGATCTCGAGATCTGACTAGGGTCTAGATAATAGGGTGTGATTTTCATCAAAATTGACAAAAGAAATTGAAAAAGAAAAAAAGAAGACAATCCTCTTAACAAAAAACAAAAAGTCTTTTGTACACAGTATTTTATAGAGTATTGTACAGAAATGAAGCCCTATGATTCAGATAACATAAACATCATGTCATGGAAAAAAAATTGGCTTGGGTGGGTGTTATGAACATGCTGTCATGGGAAAACTTGCTGTCATGAGACTTTTGGTTGAAGGCTGAGGTGATGGGAATGATTTGCCAGGTGTACACAAAGCTATTAGAGAGTGATTAGACCCATTGGGCATCGTAATAATGTGTACTTTGACTGGTAGTGCAGGTTGTATTACAGAAAATGGAATATTATGAAAAGACAAAACAAAACACAAAAAACAGAATGTTACTCATTGTTATTATCATTGCACTGAGTTGTGGACTACTTAGAGATATAGAGTCTGTGCAAGGAAAGCACTCTGCTACTGAATCTAATGACAGATATGGACATTGAAAAATGGCAAAAAAGCTATAAACACTTATGAAGAAAAGGAAAGATGATATTGTAAGGAGGAGGCATGGAGTCTTGTTACCACACGAGTGTTCTTGTACACCTAACCCACACACTTGTCAGAGTGTCTACTCAAGTAAACCTAGTGTTAAAGAACATATAAGACCTAGCTTTACTCTTTTTTGTTTCCTTGGATTAGGGAAATAGCAAATGAAACTTGGGATCCCAGAATTTTACCCAGTTTAAGAATGAATAAAGGAATGGAGTTTAGAATATTGCATATGTAAATTTACAAAGACTTGTATTTTTCAGACGACAAAGTTTTTCTTTTCCATAAAGGCTGGGGGGACCCCCCAATCCCTTGCCTATTGTTGTCAGGGGGGGGGGCTTTGGAGACGGAGACTGAGACCTAATGCCGGGATCTCCCCTGCCTAGGGCCTCAGCCCTCGACTCAACTAATTTTGCATGGACTTTTCTCCCTCCAGCTCTTTTGTTTCCGTCCCTTCTCCAACCCCTTCTACTATCTACTTCCTAAGGTGTAAGAGTCATGCTGAAAGGATGAAAGGCTGACTTTGTGCCGAAAGATGAAAGCTGACCTGAGTCCTGAATGGCCTATGGGCACGGTATTCCCCTGTTTTGTTTAGCCCCTACAGTCCACCCTGAGGGGTGGACTGTTTATTTCCCTAACATAACCAAGGCTTTCCATGGCCAGTAATGAAGATGTAATACCCATATTAGAGGCAATTAGGCTTGCCCCTTCATCAAATAGCCCCACCAGTTCAAACTCTCCCGGCCCCGACCCCAGGCACTCCTTTGACCACAACTCTAAAAACTACAACTACTACCCACTCCTCAGTGCCTACTAGTGCATTATCCACGCAAGTCGAGACTCCTATTCTCCCAACTTCCTCAACTTCATCAACTCTACCCCCACAGCCTTCTTCACCAATCACCTCATCTTCCCTTATTACTACCTTTACAGTCTTTTTCTCCATCTCTCTGTAATACTACCCCCCTCAACAATAATCCCTGTTCCACACATCCCCGTCCTTCTACCACCCACAACTCTACCGATATCTTAAATACTCTATTTAGCCCAGTCAAATGGGACTAATTTTTTCATGATCCTCCCTACAGCTCCTTACTCAGGCATCACTCTTCTCTTTCAACAATGTCTTCAAAAGCAAGTGGCCAGAGTCCCCTTCCATACCCGCCCTGATCATTCCCGTTTCGTGACAGTTACATCTGAAACTGAAGCTATAG